GAGGGATCCCGCCCATCGGAAGGCAGTGCCGGTAATCGGCTTTCCTTGAGTCCCTCCTTTCATCCTGTTCAAATGTTTTCTTTCCCAGGCTCGTGATCGCAGAGCCGATGCTGATTCAAAGCTCTGTCCCTCATCATGAACTTGCTGTTACGGCCCAAGGTCAGAGGGGGATGTAGGAGTTGGTGCTGGCCCCACAGTGTGTGCTTGGCAAGGTGGTAACCACAAACCGCCTCCTGCGCCTCTGCTCACGGGGGGAGGGATTCCAGCGTCTTTAAGATGTAACCAGCGTGTTCTTTGAATAGCATTAATGACATTAACAATGTGAGAGTGACTAACGACAATACGCTGACTTTAGAAGCGCTGCTGAATGTGCTTCCTGGTGCCCGGCATGAAAGGATACAATTATTTTTCATAACCTTTTATTTTCCCTTTACGGTGAGCTAAGCAAAGCAAGTTTGTCAGAGGCAGAGCGCTCCTAATTTGGTCTCCAGTGACCTCTGGAGCTGTGATTGGCAGTCTGGTGTCGGGGAGGAACTTGTGCCTCTGAGATAGAAATGAGCAGAACAAATGCCATAGGACAGCTTGGGTTCCCTGGAGGACACAGGCTAAAAAAGGTGAAAGAAGTGCAATTACAGGAGGTTTTCAGCACAGAAAGTTAATTAGCTACTAAATAGCATTTAGTGCAGTTCAACGTGAGGAAATTTATGTTTTGAAAGCAAACAGATCAATGGGAAGCTGTGGAACGAGCTTCTGGAAAGTCCACGTTGACATTCGTGTACTTTGTACTGTGACGTCCTGGACAGTTTTCCCCAGGTTTCCCCCACAGATAGGGAGAACTGTTGCATGTGTTTCCATGTGTTTGCAGACATATGGACACGCTTCCATGTTAAGATGTTTGACATTCAATTTCAGATATTCTGGTCAGCCTTCTGTCCAGATTATCCAGCACCTTTTTCCCTATTCTTGATGTCAGTGGAGGTGTGTTCTGTTTGGGCTGTTCAATATTTAAACTTCAGGTTCCAAATATTTCCAGCCACAGGGAGAATTTAACACAATTCTTCACCCAGCATGTTTCACAATTCATAATACACGTATATCATCAAGGGCACTGTTTTACCAGGACAACAGATTTGGGTTCCAGCTTCCCCATATCCCCTGACTTTGTACACTCACTGCACTAATTTTTTGGGCATTTCAGGATAGCTTTGAACTTTTATTGATGGATTATTCCTTTGAAGGTACCTGTCTTAGACATTTCAGGCAGCTGATGCAGCCACTACTGTTTTACCTTGCTGGAAAGAAGAGAGACCTGGAAGGTCAGTGCCTGTGGGGAACAGTGGAGAAACAGAGAAATGCTAACCCCTGGGGAGGAAAAGGGGCATGTAATTCCCATTACATGGATGCTCATACATTATGGTGATACTTATTGTCTGTAAATGATGCTTCAGCAGCCAGCATGCAGGAGCAGCTCGGGCTGTAAGCAGAGCTGTTATTAGTGAAGGTGTGCTTGGTGGTATGCATGGTGGTGGAGAGCCAAGGAGGAGGGTTTGGCTCTTGCAAGAGGCTCTCTGGGATTTGGGTGGTGCACACTGACAGCTTAGGTAACTGCCCCATCACAGCTGTAATCTTCAGCCCCTTTCCCTCTTATAATTACATTTGTCACATCGTGTTGTAAAATGAGTTATTAGATCTGTGTTGCTGAAATAGTCTTGCCATGCAGTCGGTGCAGGTCTCTGCCCTGGCTCTGTAGCACAAGTAATAATGGGGTTTGTCTCTCTTTATGTTCTAGGTGTGTGCAAATGCTTTGACCAAACAGTAAGTTGGGTCCCATTGCTGAACATCGGAGGTCTCCCTTGCAGAGTGGCTGACCCCTTGGATCAGCGTGTGGTGGGAGGACAGTGGGTCTTGACACAACACTTGCTTTCTCAGGGGCTATGAAGCTGGAGGGATTCAGATATGGTTGATGGCTGTAGTTGATTGCTGAGTGGTCTTGCTCAGCAGCAGGAATGAGATGGATTTTGAGACAAAAGAGTAATGGGACTTGGGTGAGGGGAAAAGGCTTGAGCGGAATCATAGAATCACAGAATCACTGAAGTTGGGAAAGACCTTTAAGATCAGGACCTTTATTCCCAAGGACCTTTGCACTTGTTCTCTTGTCCTTTGAGCAGTGCTGTATCTTAACTGGTGCTGTTTTTCCTGGGTTCTACAACCCAAATCTCTCCGGAATGTTCCTCCAGCTATTTTCCTTGCAGTGCCAGCTCCCTGCTTCTGCAGGGCACTCTGGTACAAATTCCTCCTCTAACAGATGAATAGTCTGACAAACAGCGAATTCTTCCCTTGCATCTGTGGATCTTGTTCCTGGTTAAAGGACTCCCCACATCACACCGTTAGCATTGATCACACTAGTTCTTCTTACTTACTTACAAAATGATCTCAATATTATTTTAAACAGAAGTCCAGCAGATCATTTTCTTTTTTTTTTTTCCCAATCAATATATACAGGGGAAAGTAATTTCAAGCAGTGAGGTTTTTTCCTTAACTTCCACAGTCTGCACCAGTGCATAAGGTTGGACTCTGCATCTGCACTATGTGTGAATGCACATGTCCATTGGCCTCTCAAAGGGCACAGGGTGCACAGATGTCTCTTTCAGATTTCAGCTTCTACATCACTGAAGGCCCTGGAATTTCCTGGGCTGCACACTCCGAGGCTCTGTGCTTTCACTTGCTGGCTTTCTGCTGTCCAGAAAGGGTAAATGCACTTACACATGTTGCCTCACATCGCTTCCCTGTGTGTTGGGATCATGTGCAAGCTTGTAACCAGTGGCAGGATGTGAGCTGCAAACGTTTGTCTGGAAGAAGCGTTTGCAGGGTATCCCACACTGCACGCTCCAAGCCCCACGTGCCTGGGTAGCTGCTTGTACCTGAAGCAGATTTTGGTTGTGCAGCAGAAGGAACTGCAGCTGGCAATAGCAGCTACACAATTCCCGGGATGAGAGCGAGCCAGCCCAGCTGTACGGGAGCTCTTGTGTCTTGGCAGTCATCTCTCTGCTGCTGGTTGTTCCAGATGATGCTCTTGAAGAACAGGCACATTGGCCTCTGGGATGAGGGAACCGCAGGACAATAATCTTGGAGCCAACCTGGCTTCCAGCCCTTTGTCATCCTGACCAGTTCATCTTTGCAACAGCTTTAGAAAATGTGTTGCCTCTGCTTAGTCTTCAAGCTGGTTTGAGTCACCTCTTCCAGGAAAATCCTGTGGAACCAGCTGTGGCTGTTGTGAAGTGTTGCTCCATAAATACCAGCTGCTTGTAGCGAGCAGCCCAGCACAAGCATCTCGTACCAGGACTCCTGTTACTTTGGCACTAACATGAGGTGCTGAATGTTTTGGAAAGTGTATGCTGCAGCTTTATCAGCAAGTAATGCTTGATTTGCCTAGAAAGGCTGGACTAGATTCAAGGTTGAAGTCCCTTCCAACCCTGTGTTCTGTGGATCTGTGATTCTAGGGTTTTCACAAAGGCCAGTACAATTTTAATGGAAAAATCCCCAGGTGATGGTGTATAGCCATGCTTGAGACTGGAAGCATCCCGATGTCCAACCTAGAAAACCTGCTGTCATTCCTCACTGAGTGATTTGGGGTATGTTGTATGAGCCTGCTCACATGGAGGTTCGGCCATGCCCTATCTAGGACCTCACCCTCCGAATGGCTTGAATGCAAGTTTTGCTTTGATGCTTGCTTTCAGCAACCTGGAGCAGCAAAACTTTATGGACAGAGTAGTGAAGCTGCTCTTTTAGCTGAGGGTAACCCAGGCTTGGTCTCATCTGCATAATGCTGCACAACTAGAGGAGGGGGCCTGGGGATTTATTTCCCCTGCGTGTGGGCACTGAGGTTTTGAGTCACACGTTTGAACAGGGCAGCACACAGGGGCATGGATAAAAATTTAACCCACAACTAACTGGGATGTCCGGAGACCTGTCCATTGGAATGCAGTGACCTGAACCATGGGTGGATGCTACAAATGAGGCTCGTCCCTGTGGAAGAGGCACTGTAGCCAGGCTTGGAGAGCATACTGATGTGGTGTGCTGCAGATGCATGCTGAGTGTGTGATTTTCAGCGTTCAGTGCCTACATTGTTAGATAAGCGGATTAGAAAACATTGCATAAAGTGGCATTGCAGGGGGCTGTCTTTATACCTGCTACTTGCCTTGTTTTGCAAACCCTGATTTCACAGCGGAACCCATTCAGAGCTTGTGCTGAGATTGTTCACATGTATTGGCCTTTTTAAGAATCAAGGGGTCACAGTTTCAGATTCACTTAATTCTCAAAGCAGTGATATTTTTCTTTTGGGATCAGGGTTGGTGGTGGGTTTGTGGGGCTTTAAATCTAAACTCTTTTTAATCTTAAGGATGGATGTATGGGATGCAGTGGGCTCATAGTGTGGTGCGAGCAGTCGGCTTCACTTTCTCTGTGTAATTTCCCACTCCTTCACTCTCCAAAGTTTCACTTTTGCAATGGAAACCATTTGCCTGAAGTTCATACACAGGATTCCAGGTCACTTTGAAGGGATCCTGCAGCTCAGAGCTCTGTGGCGTGGCTGGAAAGCAGGCAAGTGCCGTTGTACCGGCTCCCCAAACTGGTCCTCGTGCTGTGCCAAGGAGCAGGGACAGGCTATTCCTTGGAGGAGCCTGGCTCTTCCCACGCTGGGCTTCTTCATTTTACCTCCTCAAAAGTCAGTTTGGTTTTGGCTCTCCCCGGGTCTGTGTGCAATTTATGAACAGACCCAACATAGGATTGTTTTTAGGGATGGTAGGGAACTAATATACATTAAAATAATATCATCTCTTGTGTGGGCTGGCAGTTCTTGACTCCATAGACCTGCACTGGATTCCAGTTCCAGAGCTCTGACGAAAGATCTCTAACGTGGAGCATCTGCGGTTATTGCATGTAACTGTAGTCCTCTTGGCTGATGTCCTGGGGGGTTTCTCCCTCCATGCTCCTGTCTGCAGGGACACGTGTGACAATCACTTGACCTGCTCCACCAGCTCTGCCTCCAGCCTCGACACCAGTGCCCAGTTCCAGGACAATAACGGGCAAACACAGAGCACCAGATGGGATGAACAGCAGAAAGTATTTGCCCTCGAGCAGGTCTGTGGTGTCTTCAGAGTGGACCTGGGACAAATGAGATCCCTTCGCCTCTTCTTCAGGTGAAGTGTTCCTCTGTGTGGCAGTTCTGTGTGCATGCTGGGCTCTGGGGGCAGATGGCTTCTGCCATCCTCCTTGGAAGACTGCTCCTGGTTGTGTCCAGGAGAGCAGGCGTCAGCCTTCCCAAGGAGAGCCTTTGAATTACAGCTATAGGGCCTAAAGGATTTTTTTGCCTAGTACGGTAAAGGTTGCTCTTGCCTGTCTTACCAAAAACATTTCACATAACGGTAAAAGAATGCTGTTACCAGGAGTGGAGCTTCTTGGGGAAAATAGTCACTATGGCCATGTCATGCAGTCATAGAGTATCTCAAATTGGTAGGGACCCATAAGGATCATCGAGTCCCAGAGTATAAAATCACCTCTGTGCCCTGTTTTAAGGGATAACTTGGGGCTACACTTCCTTGTAATTTGCTTCCCACTCCCTCTCGTCTGATGTTCCCCTTCCCACCAGGCCCCTTGCTGTCCTGGGCAATAAATGCAGGTTGCTCTCCCCGTTGTTTCGTCCCACAGCGACGAGGCGTGTACCTGTGGGCAGCTGGTTGTTGCGAGCAGGGAGAGCCAGTACAAGATCTTCCATTTTCACCATGGTGGCCTGGATAAGCTCTCCGAGGTGTTTCAGCAATGGAAGTACTGCACAGAGACCCACCTCAAGGACCAGGTACCTGAGCAACGTTCACGGCACAACGAGGGTTTCCAGCAGGTGTTTTATGGGTTTTTAAGCATTGAAGCGTGTTGGAGAAGTGGAGCAATGAGTTCATGTCAGCGAGTCAAGCAGATAGATACAATGCATTGCATGTTGTTTAGGATGGAGCTGTGGGTGGGACGTGAGGTCTCTCTTGTACTGCTTTGCCTGTGGAATGGGGGGGAAGATAATCCAGAGACTTGCACAGGTAGGTATTTGCTAGACCCAGCAGGTCAGCTCAGGGCTTCAGGCCTGTGAAGGGGGGGATCTGCAGTGGTAGGTCTGAAATTCTGGCAAGAGTCTTTCATCCATTTTGTGCACCATAGCACACTGCTTGGGAAATGTTTTGACAAGGCATCTGGCCATATTTTGTTCAATCTACATACAAATGTGATAAGAGCTCTTTAATTATCTGTTTAAGATACTGTATGTGCTTATTAGAAACAGTGATTTTTAAATTTCCATCCTTCCCACAGAGCCCCCTGCTGCTTTTCTTATTATGGTCGCATGGGCTCACTTTTTGCATTGAACAACCTTTGATTTTTAAATTAAATGTCAGCTGCAGTCTTGCACTGGGATCATGAGTGCCCTTAGAGAGCCTGGCAGTGCAGTTCCCTGCTTGCCTAACAGCAATCCCTTTGTATATGGCCAATCATATGTAATTTATTGCAGTCATTCCTGGCAGGGTGAAGTTTTGCTGTAAGCAGCATTAATTCAGTTTCAGGTCAGGGATAAGACTGGGGGAGGAATGGAAACGGTTTTTTTTACCAGGATGAAGCTGGTTTGTGGCTCTCAGATTTTTAATTATTCTAATCACTCTCACTATTGTAATGGTCGGAGTCTAAAAACCCCTCCCCAAGCGCGGTGCCTCAGTGCTTAATCCTGCGGGAACCATGCAAAAAGGTTTTCCTGCTCTGAAAATCGCTGGGTTTCACACTCTGCTGCTACCCCTGGCTCCTGCCTCCAGCGTTCTGCTGTCTTTGCCCCCATTCAGCAGCTTACAGATGAGAGGACGTGTATGCAGTTCTCCATCCGCCGCCCCAAGCTGCCCTCCTCGGAAACCCACCCGGAGGAGAACGCCTACAAGCGCCTTGATGTGTCTGCCTGGCTCCATCACCTGAATGAATCCGGACAGGTGGAAGAGGAGTACAAGCTGCAGAAGGTGAGGGGTGGTGCTGCTGCTTTGAGCCTTTTGCTATTGCCATGGAGTGCAAGTCCCCAGGTGGAAGCTGCAAAAGTTGGGGGCAAGAACTGGGTGTTAGAGTCTAAAGACTGGTGTGTAGTGCTCGGCTGGGAGTCTTCTGGTGACTGGAGGTGAGTCTGGATGGTAGAGAATCTCCCTGCCCAGCTTCTGCTGCTGCTTGGAGTGAGTAAACCCAAGTGTCCAGTGCCAGCCGTGTTTGCAAAACGCAGTGTGAACAAATCAAAGAGAGAAAAATGGAGACTGCTGTATGAAATGGTGCAGGTCCTGAGAGAGAAGTTTGCAGTGAAATGCAGTGTCTCTAAGATTGGGGATTAAGCCGTGACATGAGAACGACACGTTAATCATAGAGCCTCTCCAGGGGGGGTTATTGACATTGAAATGAGCCCGATTTGTGTCTGGTCTGGGAATAGAAGGCCAGCACTTTCCCTCTAAACATGTGCAAATTGCAGGAGCTTGAATCAAGGCGTCACTTGTCAGGAAAGAACTGCAAAGCCACCAAAGCATAGTGGCGGGCAGTTTCTTGTTGCTGTTTTGGGGAGTGTTAAAACTGTACCAGCCATAACTTTTGCTCTTTCTTCCAGGCCATTTTCTTTGGTGGGATTGATATTTCTATCCGTGGGGAGGTGTGGCCCTTCCTGCTGCACTACTACAGCTACGAGTCCACCTCTGAAGAGAGGGAGGCACTGAGACTGCAGAAGAGGAAAGAATACTTTGAGATCCAGGAGAAAAGGTAACAGACCAGCTTCATCCTCCCCTGCTCATCTCTGCTCAGGCCTGACGTCGCAGTGAGACTGCTGGTGACGTACAGTCTCTGCCTCCTCCTCCTCAGCAGAAGCTGATTGGAGTAGAGAAGTGAGAGGGGTGGTAAGGGAGGTGTATGGGGCACAGCTGAGCTCTTGAGGGTCTGGAGCTAATACCAGACCCTCAGACTCAAATGTTCTCATCTGTATTATTGAAACAGGCTCATCAGTGCCACGTAGGGAAGTTTATCTCATAGGCAAGACTACGAGCTTAGCATGCACTGAAGGTGGAAATGGAAACTTACAGTCCTTTATAAATATATCTGTATATAAAAATAGGGAAGAAAGAAGGATATCTAATTCAAAGAAGTCATTACTGCAAGAACTGTACGTTGTAACCCAGTTGTGGGTACATTTCAGCTGGAGAGGGACAGCAGTATTATTAATTAGGAGACAATCAAAACAGAGTGGTTAGTTCTGGTGTGCCGACCACGAGGAGCAGTGCAAAGCAGAGTCCAGCTGCTTCTGAAGTGGAGTTTATCACAGAAAACCCATAGTATCATCCCGTTTATAGCCCAAGAGGCTCCTTCTGGTAATCCACTGGACAGACACTGCTGTTCTGGACAGGCCTGCTTGTCTGTTTTCCAGGTGATGAGAAAACTCTGAACAGGAATGGTTCTTCTCTGCAATCTAAAGCTGAAATAAGGCTTTTTGTTCCTTGTTTCAACCATATTCCTCTCTTGGCAACATACTGCTGTTGCTGCTCGATTTCCAGGCTCTCCATGACTGCAGAGGAACAGAAGGACTTCTGGCGTAAAGTACAGTTCACGGTAGATAAAGACGTGGTGAGGACTGACCGCAGCAACCAGTTCTTTCGAGGGGAGAACAACCCAAATGTGGAAACTATGAGGTGAGGTGTCTGATTCCAGTGACCCAAGCAGCCTCTCCTGCTGAGTGCATAGAAATCTCAGTAAGCTTGGCTCTGGTCAACTGCCTTGGGAGGGCTGAAGAACACCACGTGTATGGTGACTGGTACCAAGTGGTGCAAAAACAAGGACTTCTTCTCCAGTGCTTCCACTGCTGCTTTAGCCATGTACTTCTTGATATAATAACCCTGTTCCCATCACCTGGCTTCCCTGCACACACAAGCATGGAAGAGATATGAGCCTTCTCTGGCTATGGGAGGGTCATGGATTCTGCAGCAGGGCTGTGGGCAGTTGCCTGGGTCTGTGGTTCTCCTGATGGGGTGGAGGATGAGCACAACAATCTGCTTCATGGCTGTGTCACTTGTAAATGTGTGTCTATGAAACAGCTGGAATTCATCTGACAGTATGGCTTGGAGCCCCATAGGTGTGTAGGTACCATCTTTCCTTTCCCTTGGGTCTTTCATTTCTGTCCTCTTAGTCTTTTTACGTTCTACTTTTCTTCTTTTTTTGGTGTCTGGGTATGCAAAACCTTCTCCTGACATTTATTTCACTGGAGTGATGTTTGCAGCAGGGTTTATCTCTATGTGTTAAAGTAGGGTTGTGTGTCCTTGTACCTGAGATGTTCTGTGTTGCTTGTTCCTACTGCACCGCTCCCAGTGGGCTGGAAAACAGGACCCTAAAGAGTTCTGTTCAGATCAGTTGTCTTATGCTGCTGTGTGCTGTCCAGAGCTCTTCATGTCCATCCAGGAGTCTCTTTGGATTGATGCAAAATGTTGTAATCCTAAAGCAAGGAGAGTTAGGTATAGTATTAGTGTATCTGTGCTAGTTAGTGCATGCTTCTAGGTACAGTCCTTTAGGGAATGCGGTTCTGTGGGGTGCAGCATGATGCAGAGCTGCTCAGAAGTTCACGAGCCTCCGGGTGCAACTGGAGGTTAATGTTTCAGATGGCAGGAGTGATCTGTTGCTCTTTTGCACCTTGCCTGTCTCAGCCTGTGTGGTAGCAGCTGGCGTAGAAGGGAAGGGGCCCTGTGCTCTCATGTCTCACCTCTCCCTTTGCATCTCTTCTCCAGGAGGATCTTGCTGAACTATGCAGTATTTAACCCAACAATTGGCTACTCCCAGGGGATGTCTGACCTGGTTGCCCCACTCCTGGCAGAGGTTCTAGATGAGTCGGATACTTTCTGGTGCTTTGTGGGACTGATGCAGAACACAATCTTCATCAGCTCACCCCGGGATGAGGACATGGAGAAGCAGCTGGTGAGGCTGAATGCTGAGCTCCCTTCAGCCCTGTCTTTAGCTTCTCCTCTCCCCAGTCAGGTTAGAAGGATGCCATACAGCAGTTGCTGGGCTGTTGGGTTCCAGCATGCTGAATCACACTCCAGAGCACAAAATACCTGATGGATAAAATTGATCCTGGGTGATCAGGGCAGTTACAGCCAATGAACTGTCCGAGAGGTTACCTTGGCTATGCTAGAGGCTGCTGATTCAAGGAATCTTGTATGATCAAATGTGCTCAGGATGCTGCTTGCTTTCTCTTTGTACTGCCTTCAGGCAGTGAAGTCTCACAAGTTCATTTTTGTCCTGATTCTGGGGCGTTTGGTGTGAATGAGGCGGAGGAACTGATTGAGCTGCAGCCCTCTCCTCTGTGGGGTTGGTTTTGCTTGGGGTTTTTTTGAGGTTTTAACATTTTAAATAGATTTTTTTAATTATGTCCAAAAGAAAAGCCTGATATATCTGAGAGAGCTCCTTAAAATAAGGTGATCCTGTTATAAAATAGCAACTTTTTAGATTCTAACATGAATGTCAATTGTTTTCTGGTTAAAATCCTGAAAAAGCTGTTCTAAATCTGAACAATCCTGCCTGGATCATCATGGCACCAATTTAAAGTGGTAAATTTGTGGTGGAACCCCCCTGGGAGGCTGCTGGTGCAGAGCAGTTAGTTATTGCACAGATTTATGCACTGTAGTGGGCCTGTATAGTCAGGCTTTCCAAAATCACTTCCATATTGCTCAGCCTCTATTGAAATGAAATACTGCCAGAGATAGCTGTGTCCTTTCTTTTCTCTGCTTTTTAGCTGCTTTCTCAGCCTGAATCTCTCCCCTTCTTTCTTTCCACAAAGTGGCTGTCAGGGGGTTTTCTTTTTCCCCTCCATCCTTCCTTGTGAAATAGCTGCTGTGCCCTGCAAGCTCTGGCCTTTAAAGATAGATCCAGTAATGCTGCTGGCTGTGCTGTAAGAAAGGGACTGTGAGAGAACTGTTGCCAGCTCTGCAGGAGCCCAGGGCTGGCACACAGAGGGGGGCTCCTTGGGATGGTGCCGGTCCCAGTGCAGGGGCTCACCTCAGAGCATCTATTGCAGATGTACCTGCGAGAGCTGATGCGCCTCATGCACCCGCGCTTCTACCAGCACCTTTGCTCCTTGGGAGAGGATGGGCTGCAGATGCTTTTCTGTCACCGCTGGATCCTGCTCTGCTTCAAACGGGAATTTCCAGATGCGGAGGCGCTGCGCATGTGGGAAGCGTGCTGGGCTCACTACCAGGTAAGATACCTGGTGATGGGCACAGGGCAAACAGAGCAGCAGCAGAGCAAAGCCTTTGCTGAGCCCTCACCAGCTCAGCAAGCACTGCTTGTTTCAGTAAAGGTTCTTAGTAGCAAAGCATCCACAGTAAGTAGGTGCTACAGAGGGTCTGTAATCAGCCAAGAGGTTTATCTGTGTAGCAGGAGGACGGAGCCCTGCCTCTCCTGCTTCAGGATTCTGGGCTTGAAAAGGAGATGGGTTTTTTGTTTTGTTTTGTTTTGTTTTCTCCACATTTGCTTCTGAAGCAGACTTCTCTCACACAGCTGGAAAATGCCTTCCCCATCATCGCTAGTCTGCTTTGAAAGCTGGGGTGTAAACCTTGCTGCTGTGCTGGAAAGGGAAGAGACTTTGACTCAGCTCTGGTTCAGAATTCACCAATAACTCATGTTCTCTGTACCAGCAGGCAAAACTGAAGGAACACAAAGGTGTCACTCAGGACATGCTTGTGGAGAGGGGGGAGGTTAAGCCAGACTCTGCCTCCACCTGCTGTACTCCAGCCCCTGGTTTCTCATTGCAGACAGACTATTTCCACCTCTTTATCTGTGTGGCCATTGTGGTGATTTATGGAGATGATGTGATTGAACAACAGCTGGCCACTGACCAGATGCTGCTGCATTTCAGCAACCTGGCTATGCACATGAATGGAGAACTCGTACTCAGGAAGGTAAATGCCTATGTGCTGATGTGGGCTGAGTCTCGGGTCCAAGAGATGAGTCAGAGCATTGAGAAAATCAGGGACTGATGCTATATCTTTCTCATCTCCGGTCTCCCCTGCTTGCAGCCTGGGAGGGCGGGATGCTGCTGTTTGCTGGGAAACAAGACTGGAGAAGTAAGAGGTAGTTCTGGAGTGCTTGGGTGGTAACAGGATGGCTGGGATGACCCTTGCATGTGCTGAGGGAAACAGCAGACAGAGCTGTTCACCTCTGTGCCATGGTCTCCAGTTATCTCAGGCTGGGAGAGACCACAGGCCATGGGATGTGCTTCTGCTGTGACACGTCAGTGTCCCAGTGACCTTCGGGTTTGTGTTCAGGGGGGATGCTCCTTTCCTGAAGCTTTGAGTCTTCTAAGGTAGCGAAACAAGAGGATGGGATGCGAGGCCACGGGTACCTGTGCTGTCCTTCGTCCCTGGTGAGGACTGACTTTGTCTCTCCCTTCTAGGCAAGGAGTCTGCTCTACCAGTTCCACCTGCTGCCCCGCATCCCCTGCAGCCTGCATGACCTGTGCAAGCTGTGTGGGACAGGAATGTGGGACAGTGGCTTTATCCCTGCTGTGGAGTGCTCTGGCCATCACCCCGAGTCTGAGAGCTGCCCGTATGGGGGACTGGTGGAAGTGTCTTCTCCCAAACCAGGAAGTGAAGGCAAGAGAAGCTTGAAAACACGGGACGTCTTTGCTTTCCGAAAATAGCTGTGGAGGAACAGGGTGTGCAGAGGAAGAGGGAAGGGCAGGAAGGATGTGCATAGGAATGAATATTGAAGACAAAAATGGAGGGGGGTCTTGTCGAGGCTCCTGAGAACACTGAAAGGTGAAGAATGGAAAAGGAATTAAACCCCTCTACAAGAGAAGCAAATTCCAGTGCACTGGCGCTGGAACCTGAACAAGGTGCATCAAACCAGGAAGGGTGTTTGTACGTGTTTGGATTTGTTTTGTTAGAAACATGCTTTTTCTAGCTCTTACCAAGGAGTTTTTATTCTGCCTCTGGGACTGGACTGGTTCACAACCAGAACTTTGCTACTTGCTGATGAGAAATGAGAACACTAAAGAGAGCCAAGTGCAACCAGCAGCGTTCGTGGGTCAGGCAGAAGGAGCAGCCTCTGTGATGTCCCTTCATCCAGAGCACACCACGCACACGTGCTCTGCTTCAACCAAAACGTGCAGCTTTGTGGCTTCTCTCAAAAGCCATAAAGACCATTTTAATTATACTCTGCCAAATATAAAACTGCAGACTGTTGGGATTGCAGGGGAGGTGTCTGCTTTGTTGGCGGGGCAGAACTGATCACCTAAAGGTCTTGTCTCTTGCCTTTTTATTGTTTTATATGGTGTTCTGCTGGCGTGATTGTTTCATCTCCCATTTGTACAGGACATGTACAGCCACACGTCTTACAGCACTGCTTTTCTGTAGTCAGGGTTTTCATGGACACCTTTCAGAGTTTACTTCTTCATGACATTACAGTAAAGCTGTTCCTTTATGCTGATGACTACAGACTTTCAACACTTGCTTATGGAAGTCTGTTGTTTCCAGTGTGTTTCCCATTGTGTTTCCTTTGGCTCTTCCTGATTACTGAGTATTCACTGTCCTTACCTGTCCTTGCCATAGGCTGCAGCACATACACTCCAAGTGGGCTTTGGGCTCTTCACTTGGTGCCACTTACGCACCCGCTTCCCCTGCCCAAAGTGAAAATGAAACTTGGTTTGTTTCTGCTGAGCTCTGTCTCTGGTAAAGGTTTCCCTGAGTGTTCCTGAAAGGACAGAGCGGTCCTCCTCTCGTCTTCTGCAAGTGGAGCTGGGGCCTTGAGCACAGCCATGGTGCCAAACGTCCTCCAGTGACATCGGTGACATCCAAAGCTGTGTCCTGAGCCAGGGAAACGGTCTCCTTGGAAGAATGAAAAGGAGACGAGGTGAGAGCGGGCTGTGCTGCTATGCTGCATCCCTCTGCATGGTGTATGAGGCCTTGCAGCCTTTCCTGGTTGCCTTGCACCCTCACAAGAGGCTGGCAACTGGGATGCTTTCTGTGAAACCAAGAGCAAGCTGTGTTCATAAGGGGAAGATGACCCGGTGAGGCACATCCCAAAGACAGGCTGCTGTGTGGCAGGACAGTTTGGCTTCTGATTTGTGTGCCTTTAATTGAGAGGGTGAAAACCTCCCCTTTGAGGAGAGCAGTGGTGAAACCTGCTGCAGCATGGCACACGTTCAGAATGGCCCAGCTTCGAGAGGTGCCGAGGCTGCAGGATGTGCTGGGGTTGTAGGAGGTGACACCTCATATAAGGGCTGGTGGCTGCTTTGCTGCAAAGGGGGGGGTTCTTTCAGTTTTATGATGTTCCATCATATGAAAATAAAGGTCTGTGTGAGGCGTCTGTGTGGTGCATTGCTGTGCAGGCTGCTCTGTACCTAATAGCAGTTTGATGCTGCTTGAGTTTTTCCTTTTGCAGCTGTACAAGATGTGTTGGGTGCTGGGGCTGTGCTGCTCTCCCTGGGCTCTGATGATTTCATAGAATCCCAGCCTGGTTTGGGTTGGAAGGGCCCTTAAAGCTCCTCCAGCTCCAATCCCTGCCACTGGCAGGGACACCTTCCACTGGAGCAGCTTGCTCCAAGCCCTTCCAGCCTGGCGCTGTGTGGCTCAGTGCATTCATCAAGATCCAAGCTCTTAAGTGGTGGCGGCTGAATTAAGGTCAGAAAAACCACAAGTCAGAAAGCACCAGAAGCATCTTCCCATGGAGCAGCATGGTAGCAGCAGGCAGGCACCAGCTCCCCATGGGGACAGCAGGACCCGGGTACCACTGGCTGTCGCCTCGCCTCCTCATGCCAGATGGACATCTCTAAGAGGCCATCGCACTGCTGTGGCTCATTGGCCAGTGTCCAAGCTGACGGATGCCTCCCTAGGAGAGGCTGGTGTGGGCAGACCCTACCTGGGCTTACTGGACACTTGCAGTGAGCTGGGACACACCAACAAACACCGACCAGGAGATCTGGAGCTGGTTTTGCTGCAGCCGTTGTTCCCAGCCTCTCAGAGACAATAGGAAGAGATGAAGGAGATAATGTTGAGCACTGTTTTTCCACTATTAAAATGCCACTCAGCAATGTGGAAATCACTCAGCATTTGTTTAGTTAAAGATTCTGCACTGCAGTTTCCCAGCACGTGGAAGAAGTTGGGGTTTCTGTTTGAAGTGATGCTCGGCTGTGTGGGAGCACATCACCGGGACCAGCGGGCCACTGGGACCAGCAACCGTGGAATTCCTCTGCATGAAGGAAAGGCAGCAAGTCAAGTGTTGGACAGGAGAGCCCGTTTCTGAGGTCCTTTTGACCTGTCTCCAGGATCCCCTTCTCCTTTGTGACTCTTTGGAGTTGACACAAGGAATAGAAAAGAATCAAAGCTTCTGGCCTTGACAAAGGAGTAAAGTGAATCCTGGGAGCAATGACCCTCACGTGGCTTCTCTCCTCAGTCGCTGCCCTGTTCATTGCATTAGCTGCAGCTGAGCAGCCAAAAATAGACCCTTGCAAAGGTAAATAGTCAGCATAAGCCTCTTTAGACTCAGCTTTGAGCTGACGCATCCTCCTGCCTCCCGCTGCCGGGGGGAAGGGGCGAGCAGGAGGGAGCCAAGCAAGGCTCTGATCCTGCAGTGAAGAGCAGTGCAATGGGGAGCCCAGTGTGTGCAGAGCGATGGGAGCACCGCATCCTGCCCCCCTGAGCCCTGGCACTGGGCATGGGGCAGGGATGCGCCCGTGCTGCTGCACTGGGGAAGATCTGCGGCTGTGCCTGGAGGCCTGGGCCTCGCTGCCCGCTCCGGCTCTGTTTGGACAGGGCTGTTTGGCTGCTGTGTGCCAGGGGCGCTGCCTGGCCGATGAACGATGCCAGCTCACGAGAACAAAGGGACTCACCTGAGTTATTGCAAGCCCCAAAGAATTTAAACCCCAGCTTGGCTTGTCCCTCATTAATCCCCATGGCTCTGCTTGGGTCATGAAAAGGGACCAGTCCGGCCGGCTGCGGTTCATGGTCACATCCTGCTGCAGGGCGCTGCTCCTGCCCTGCTGCTGCTGCTGCTTTGGGGAGGGCTCCGCTCCCCGTTCACTTCTCTCATTTAAGCAGTCAGAACCACAATGGGGGAACAGAAGCAGAGGCCAATAGGAGCTGTGCCAGAGGCACCGGCTTGCACTTGCCCCAGGGCTACCAGCGGCTCCGCAACAAGATCCCATGGGAGCTGGTGCTGCCCGTCCTGGGCATGCTCAGCCCTTCCCCAAAGTGAGTGGCAGCCCAAAAGCTGCTGGGTCTCCCCTTTCCCTGTCCCTGGAGCTGCTCCAGACCCAGGTCACTCCTTAGGTGTTTTTGTGGCCAGTTTTCTTGCAGTCTGTGCCACAGCCAAGAGCTCCAGCATCATCCAGGTACCCCAGAATCACTGCTCTTTGAATGGAGCTCGGTTCTCCTTGTGGTGAAAGGCGACTCTCTCTTAGTTCGAGCTGAAAAGGGGCTTTGAAATGCAGTTCTGCTGTGAAGGTCTGGGATCTCCCACTTCAGAACCTCTCCAGGTCCCATTGCTGAGCTCTGGCCTCCTTCAGGCCATGCCTGCTGCCACGCTGGCCTTTCTACCATGTCCCCCATCCCTCACCGCGGTGCCTGACGTCCTGGTTCATTTCCCTCCTCTGCAAACTGGTGTTTTCTAACAAAAAATCAGGCTCTTTTCCAAGCTTGTCGCCTGCCCCCACCCTCAGCCCCTGCCCATCACCGCTGCTCCTGGCCCCTGCCCCGCTGCTGCATCCCTGCTCCAATAGAGGCCAGAACTTTCAGTCTGAAAGCATTTGACCTGTAACCTGTCTGCAGCGTTTGCCTTGAGGTGCCCACAGGAGCTGGGCACCGTTTTCTATTGCAGGAGCTACCTGAGGGTGCCGTGGTTGGGAGCAGCTTCCCCAGCCCAGTTTTGGGTGAGCACATTCACCTGCCAAGCACAGAGCGCTTTAATAAGGAAATATTTGGGTAATGTTGTCACAAAGCAAGTCCTGGGTGAGGAACCCAACAGACTGGTTTGGGTCTGGGGCGAGATGCTTGAATGCACCCAGCTCCAGGTCACTCACAGGGGCGGCGCTCATGGACCAGCCCCACTGCAGCATCCCTCACCAGTCCTGGGGGCAAATGCCACCCTGGTGCTTCAGCCCAGGGGTAATGAGAACAGATGTTGGCTTGAAACTGATAAAGCAGTGATGGCAAGAGTGCTGGAGTGAGGCTCCAGAGCGGAGTTTGGCTGTGCAAGCCTTTGAGCTCTCTGGCTTGGAGAGGGAAGCAGGGGCTATGCTGGGCGCTCACCCGTGGCACCAGGGCAGGGACTGTCCCCAGCCCCTTTTCCCTCTCTTGGGAAGCTCAGCCCCATGCCTGGGGAACAGGGGGGATCCCCCATCTATGTTGGTTTGTTTCCAAACCCGTCACTGTCTGCAAGCTGCTGCCATTTCAAGTGATGCTCTGCAGCTCACCTTTACAGCAGAGGTCCCCCGTTTCCCCTGGCCACCTCGCTGTCCTGCGCAGCACACGGCCATCCCGTTCCATCCATGGGACAAAGCAGGACACCAAAGTGAAATGCATCCTCCTGTTAAAGCCCCCAGGGCAGGGACGCATGAGTGTGAGCCCTGGCCTGGGATCTGCTTTCACACTGGGACCCGCTCCAGTCCGTTGCCCCATGGGGTGTCCTCCCGTGCTTTGCTGGGTTCGGGGGGTCAGAGGAGCCCCAAGGAGACAACCAGCATCCTGCCACAGGTGCTTTCTTGAAGCAGATTTAACCAAGGGAGTTATTGGCAGGGAAATGGAAGGGATCTGGGTCTCTGCAGCCCGGTGGGACCCATGGAGCCGTCCATGACTGCGGGGGCCCTGGAGTGACCCAGTGGCACCGGGTGCGCCCCAAGGCCCCGCAGTGAGCACAGGGCAGCCCAGGCAATGCAGTGAAAGGGACCTGGTGTCAGCCGGCACTTCCAGGGGTGTTCTTGGTGCCTGGAAGAGGTTCTCCGGCCACCCCTGACCTCTGCGGTGCCAGAGGGAGCCGAAGCCTCTCGCTGGCCCTTCTCTTGCCTTGGGTCTGTCCTTCAGGAGCCACAGAGGAGCTGAGCT